TAAAGTACCTGGTATTTTAAAATAAAGCACCTGTTCATTGCCTAAGGGGCCTCAGGACAGTGTAATGAGAGGCAATGAAGTCCGTAATGATTGAGTTATATGCAACTGGTATACTTATATTGTCCTGCGCTTAGTAGCATGCTTTCTTCACTAGATTATATCACATTTCTTCAAAAATATGAAACTGTTTTCATAATCGGGAACCATTTCATTAGCTGTAGATTTCTCTTTTCCTGAAACGTTTAAGAGGATACACACTTGGAAGCTTGGTTTTTAAGGATGATAGCTCATGGATGACCTCAAAATATTTTCCCACTTATCTTAGTCCTCATTGCTTTATAGGTTCAAATTAAGCAATTTATATTTTTTGAAACACTATTTCATTGGATTTATTTAACACGGATTTTTAAAAACTATGTCCTTGTAATTTTAAAACACCAATTCCATAGGTTTGGGTATAATTTTATGGGCATGAGTATTAAGGTGATTTTTAACTTGGCGGATGTTTTAAGAAATTTTTGTAGCTTGTTATGAATGTGCACTTTTTTTGTTTTGCATTATGTTTGGAGACTTTTGATTGTTTCCTTTTTGTGCAGGAGTTTTGTATCTGCCTGCTTTTCTGGTTTTCAGTTGTTTTGGTGTTTACTCATAAGAAATGGTAAATGATCAACGAAATATTTTGTTTCCTTTTCAGTGATTAAACTGTTTGAATTCAGTGCCTAATATTCCTGAATTGAAAGCTGCCTTGTCACGTGACTGACTTCTATTCATACTATTATCTTACCGTCAAAATGGCACTAGGCTTCTTTTTGAGATTTAACCTATACACTAAGAAACCCATCATCCGTTTTTACCGTTTTTCACATAAATGTCAACTATTATGCTTTGTATCTTTTGGCCTAACATGTCATGGTTACAGATTTCAGGATGTGGAAGCATCCTAGAATTCCTGCAAGGAAGCCCCTGCCAGAAATCATTTTAGAAAACATGGAGCTGAGCTGCAGGTTACACATGCGAGCTGCTTAGCTGACATCCTGTAGACATGCTCTCCCTAAGTAAAATTTGAACCAAAAGCTGCCAGCTCGCCTCATTCCTTAGCTCCTAACCCATCCTTTAGTCCCTGACGTTACTAAAATACAAGCCGTAAGACTGGATTCCCTTTTCATTCCTCCTCTCGAGAATTCACAGTAGCCCTGATGTTTGCTCCTTTTCCCATCCACCACCAGGGGCATGCTATGCTGCTGTCTACTGTGAAAAAGCAAAATTACACCTGAGACCATGAGTTCTGTAATCAAACTTATTGCGCATGAAAGCGAACTGCTTCCGAGGCCTGTTGCCTGAACTAGATTCGTTTTAAAGTCCTACTGGTTTAGAAGAGTTTAATCAGCCAACTTATTATTTGTTAATTACTGGTCGTGCCAAGCTCTTTTCTAGAAACTGTGAATGGCTCTGAAAAGAGCCTTTGGTTTGTACTCCTTTTCAGGAATTCAGGCCCCTCACTGGGTTTCCCCACTGCAGAGATCACTTATTCTGCGGCTGGTGGTGGTGGCTCTCGGTCTTGGGCACCATCATGGGCTGGAAAATATTCTGGGGCTTGTAGTGGTGGTTCTCGGTCTTCTTGGGCAGCAGCACCGACTGGATGTGGGGCAGGACGCCGCCCTGCGCGATGGTGACCTTGCTTAGCAGCTTGTTGAGCTCCTCGTCGTTGCGGATGGCCAGCTGCAGGTGGCGCGGGATGATGCGCGTCTTCTTGTTGTCGCGGGCCGCGTTGCCCGCCAGCTCCAGGATCTCGGCCGTCAGATACTCCAGCACGGCCGCGAGGTACACGGGCGCGCCGGCCCCGACCCGCTCGGCGTAGTTGCCCTTACGGAGCAGCCGGTGCATGCGGCCCACGGGGAACTGCAAGCCGGCTCTCGAGGAACGGGTCTTCGGCTTGGCGCGCTCCTTGCCGCCCTGCTTCCCTCGCCCAGACATGACGACACAAACTGTTATAACGGAAAAAAAATTACCGTTAAGACGGAGGGGGGTCTATTTATAGTCTGTCCGTGGTTTGTGACTTTGCAATCTGATTGGCTGATGGACCACTACCCAATCAGAAAGCATTACTGGAATCACTTAATTTACATATACGTCACTAACCACTGTCCAATCAGACCTTGGCTGCCCAACACAGAAGGTCACGGTCGCCTATAAATACCGCTCTTTTGACCCGCAAACATTAGTTGCTGGCTTGGTGCTGTTGTGAGTGTTAATGGTCGCTGACCTCAGCACTTACCATGCCGGAGCTGACTTCAAAAGGCGCCACTGTTTCCAAAAAGGGTTTCAAGAAAGCAGTTACGAAGACACAGAAAAAGGAGGGAAAGAAGCGGAAGAAGTGCCGCAAAGAGAGTTATTCGATTTATATCTACAAGGTGCTGAAGCAGGTGCACCCGGACACGGGCATCTCGTCCAAGGCCATGAGCATCATGAATTCGTTCGTCACTGATATTTTTGAGCGCATCGCGGGCGAGGCGTCGCGCCTGGCGCATTACAACAAGCGCTCGACCATCACGTCCCGGGAGATCCAGACGGCCGTGCGCCTGCTGCTGCCCGGGGAGCTGGCCAAGCACGCCGTGTCGGAGGGCACCAAGGCCGTCACCAAGTACACCAGCTCTAAATAAAGCCACCGGAGAGCGTTGAACCAACGGCTCTTTTCAGAGCCACCCACCTTTCTTAAAAGGGCTGTGAGCTACCAACAAGGGGGGGTGGGTTAGGGTTTGCAGCGTCTTTTTAGCTTCAACAGCTTGTTGCACCCAGAACATACCATCCCCCCCCGTTCATCCTGTAGAAAAGTGGCTGTGAGCTAAAATGTAAATGGGACGCAGTAAATAGAGATTAGGGGTCTAGATCTCTAGATCCTAATGGGAAAACCGACGTCCATAACAGCCGACGAACAACGGTAACAGGGTGGTGCTTACAGCCTTCTTAGGAGGGTGGGTGGCTCTGAAAAGAGCCTTTGGGTTCCCTACACTCAAGAGTGCTGCACAGGTGCGCTCACTTGGAGCTTATGTACTTGGTGATGGCCTTGGTGCCCTCAGACAGGGCCTGCTTGGCCAGCTCCCCGGGCAGCAGCAGGCGCACGGCCGTCTGGATCTCCCGGGACGTGATGGTCGAGCGCTTGTTGTAATGCGCCAGGCGCGACGCCTCGCCCGCGATGCGCTCAAAAATGTCGTTGACGAACGAATTCATGATGCCCATGGCCTTGGACGAGATGCCCGTGTCCGGGTGCACCTGCTTCAGTACCTTGTACACGTACACCGCGTAGCTCTCCTTGCGGCTGCGCTTGCACTTCTTGTTGTCCTCCTTCTTGTCCTCCTTCTTGTCCTCCTTCTGCGCCTTCTGCGCCCTAGTCACTGGCTTCTTAGAGTCTTTCACAGACATACCGACGCTTTTCGAAAGCAGCTCAGGCATCATGAACGTCCTGCTCCGCAGATCTTACAAGACCGGCCAGACCCCAGCAACAGTACAGCGCCGCTGGCCAAGAGTGGTATTTATTGGCACGCCATAAACATGACGTATTGGGCAGCCAAGAATCTGATTGGACAATGTTCAGTGGCGTGTATGTAAATTAGGTGATTCTAGTAATGCTTTCTGATTGGGTAGTGGTCCATCAACCAATCAGATCGCAAAGTCACAAACTTCGGACAGACTTTAAATAGGCCCCGTATCGTGTCTTTTGGTTGCTTTTCCGTCATCATTCCTGTACTAAGTATGTCTGGGTGCTGTGAGCAGAACAGCAACATGCATGCCAAGTTCAAGTCTTCTTCATGTAGAGCCGGCTTGCAGTTGCCGGTGGGCCGAATCCACCGCTTGCTGCACACAGGTGGCTATGCAGATCGTATTGGGGTCGGCGCGCCCGTATACCTGGCGGCCGTGCTGGAGTACCTGACGGCCGAGATCCTGGAGCTGGCGGGCAACGCGGCCCGCGACAACAAGAAGACGCGCATCATCCCGCGCCACCTGCAGCTGGCCATCCGCAACGACGAGGAGCTCAACAAGCTGCTGGGCAAGGTCACCATCGCGCAGGGCGGCGTCCTGCCCAACATCCAGGCCGTGCTGCTGCCCAAGAAGACCCAGTAATCTTTCCAGTGGTGAAACCCAGTGAGAGGTATGACCGCCTAGAAAGGAAAACAAACCAAAGGTTCTTTTCAGAGCCACTCACATGATCGGTAAAGGCTGTGTGCATACCGGAGGGCTGCAGTGGTGTAGTCCCGTAGCAGTAATGTGTGTGCGCACCGTAGCTCCTTGCAAAACAGCATTGTGGAAACGACCTGTGGTTCTTAATAACCAGTGTTCGCTGAATGTTTTTAAGGCTGCGAAGGATGACTGAAAGGCAGAAAGAAACTCAGGGACAGTCGCAGTGCTTACTGGGATGTCCTTTTTAGTTCTTCAGGGACAGCTGTATAGAATGCTTCTTGCAGTAGCAGAACAGTCGCAGTGCTGGAGTCCTTGGGAGGGACACGGGCATCATAACCACTAGTTTGAATTAGTGAGCAGAGAAATCCTAATTTAAGCTAATTTAATGAGCTAAGTGGTGATTGGATTAGAATAAACAAGACATAATCTTGTAGCGTCCAGTTGAACAAATGGCAGCCGATAGGACATCAGCCAGTTTAGCCAGGCTGCATGGTTTTCTCAAAGTGCCTTTCACAAAGGACTTTCCCATTAAATATGCTAGTAACGGTACAGTATGAAATATTTAGACGTGATATATCAGTAGACCAAGAGTTAGAAAGCAAGTTAATCTTATTAACATTTGGTAAAGGTTCATATGTGAATATTTGAGATCTATGACTTCACATGCATGCTTAGTGAAAACAATTTTTTCCTTAAAATGTAGAAAAAGATGTATCTCAAAAAGAAGCTTGGTAACTAGCATGTGTAATGGAGAGATGGTATCAGTCTCCAAAGCTGGCATGTGGCAAGTTCTCCCATCATAGGTTTGAAATTATTAGGGAATTTTCGTCAGATCTTTCAAAAGTTTTAACCACACACACACACAAAAGACTCAATAGCAGTTGAGCTGTTTGTACTGCCAACACCAAGAGAAACTGGAAAGCAAATGAACATTTAGTTAGGCTGTCAAATATAAAATTACTGTACAATATTCAACAGTTTACCTTATCTCAAAGAAAAAGAATCTCAATAGTTACCTAAAACAAACTTTGCTAGACACTTAAGTATGAAGTATGAAGTTCTATAAGAAGTCAAAGATGAGAACAGCTATATAATATGTTAATTAGGGAAACTCAAGTTAGTTATGAGTCAATCATTTCTTGAATAAGTGTTACGGGAGTCTCGGTTCTTGCCAGCACAGTGAAGAGTCAAAGGTCAGCAAGCTGATTACAATGCAAGCAAGGTTTACTAGTGATACATTCTCAGGGAAGAGAATGGGCCTGGTGGAGGTGGGGAAGCAGTAGAGGGAGGGAGAGAAAGGGGGAGAGAATGAGGACCAGAGAGCTCAAGGGCCAGAAAGAGCAAGAGAGCCCTTGTCCCGAAGACTTACAGTTTGCTGGGTGGGGTGAGGGAGTTACATATTGATTTGGCGGGAAAAGGTGGCGCATGCTCTTCCACGGGAGGGCATGACCTCCTAAGATGGGTGGAGGTCTGTTGACTCAGATCCTTCTCTTGCTTCAGACCACCTCGTCATCTGTTGATATAAAAACAGATACGTGGCTGGAGGCAGTTAATCAAAGCTAGTTATAAGCTTTTCCTGTAGGCACTATGGGCCCCCTCCCATCCTTCCTCTTCCTCCATTCTCTAACTTCTAACATTAATGTACACAAATATCATTTAAGGCATGCGATTGGGGAGGGCACCAAACAAAGGAAAATTTTTCAAAAAGGAAATTGCAGATTTTGAACAAAATTAGGTAACACTTAGAACATGGCAATTAAAAACTTTAAACTGTGCTATTTTTAAATCAGAGAATGCTGATATAAATGATTGAGTAAATTAGGGCTATGTGATAAATCTCCTAAACAGAAGAAAACCAAAAAAATGATAGATGCTCTCCCATCAAGCAAGTGTAGGTTAACTCCCCAGACTTGCAAAAGCAGAGTTGGAAACGCAGGGGAGAAAGGGAGTGACTTCACAGTAGAGAAACCTGGCAAACATTACCTCAGCCAGATGACCAATGTTAACATTGTCAATCTTAAACATTAAACAAAGGTCATGGAGCAACCAACAAGTGGGTTTATTCAGAAATAGCAGAGAGCTTGCATCTTAGAACAAGCAAACTATGGGGAACCACAGGCAAGTCCTGAGAACAAAGGAGAGGAGAGCTGTCTTTTAGAGAGGAAAGGAGGGAAGTGGGGAGGGGTTGTTTTAAAATTTGACTGGAGGAATGTGGGAGTTCTAAGTGGTGGCAGCTTATTGGCTGCTGGCAAGGGCAGCTTGCTATCGGCAGACAGAGGGGAGATCTTGATTCTTGCCGGCTTATACGGGCTGCCTGCAGTGTAGTGCATGGGAGCTCTTAATGGCTTCCCAATTCTGTTTTGAATGAGGCTTCCTTTATTCATTTTCACATCACCACTGATAAGCCATGTTGATAGCGTGTACCCTTAATATGAACTGCTGAGAAGAGCATTTTACTAATCTGGGATTCCTCCCAACAATCATAATCCCAGTCTAACCCTGAGGAAAACATTAGGCAAATCCACATCGAGGAACGTTCTATGAAGTTTCTGACTGTGAGTCCTCAAAGCTGTCAAGGTTAACAAAAAAGGAAATTCTGAAAAATTGCCACAGCCCAGAGGTGGCTAAGGCAAAAATACAACTAAATGTCATGTACTTTTTAGTACAACCTGGATCCTGGAACAGAAAAGGAACATTATGTAAAATGTAATAAAATCCAAGCAACGTTTAGCCTATAATTCACAGTAACATACCACGTTAGTTCCTTAGTTGTGACAAATGCAGAAATGTGGACAACAGGAAAAACTGCCTGATGGGTGTACGGGACAATCTTTACAACTTTTCTGTAAATCTAAAATTGAGTTAGAAGCTTCACTGAAATACAAAACTTATATTTTTAAAAAATCAGGTTAGGGTCGCAAATCCAAAAACAAACAGATGAATACAGTTCAGTAGATGACACTAGTACCTGAAAGTCTTCAGCAGCTCTGAAGTGTCTCCTGGTGAACATGAGTGTCCTCTCGACAAAAGCTCCTGTAACTGGCATACACGGTGACAGGATATGGCGCCCTGCACACAGTGAGCCTGGCCAGTCCCCCAGGCATCAGCAACGAATAGCCCTCTGGGATTCTCTGTAGATGGCAGTCAGGACCTCTTGTAATGAGCCACGGAAGAGGGTCACCAGTGATGTGCTCAGAATTCCCTGCCGAATGCATTCACCCTAGGGAGGCCAGTGCCGGGCTGACCCTGCTTCAAAACCTGCCTTGGGTGCTGGAAGTGAAATCAGAAGTAGGAGACACAGCCTTCCACTGCCTTGAGGAAAAGAGAGGGACTGCTTGTGAAGCCAAGGACCTTATTTATACACCGTGTATTCAAATGAGGTATTTCTGATTGGAATAAAAGCAAGAGGCAAATGACTATAAATCAGCTACCTCAGGTCAACTCTGATTGGGCAGTACTCCTATTCCCGTCACCCACTTGGAAAGCAAAAGACTATCACAGTGGGAGGGGTGGGGGGAGAATCGTTCTTCATGAGCACTTTGAGTAAGAGTCCTTTCCAGCTGCTCAGTTTTATAGATTTCAGCCTCAGCCTCTTTGAGAGACTGACTTCCTTAACCCAAGTCCAAGTTCCCAGAGGACTGCAGCTGGCCCACTTTGAAGCATATGTATGTCCACTTACTGTCCATCAACAGTAGTCAGAGAGAGGGGAATGAGCCTGGAAAAGAATGCATCTGGGTGAACACAATAATGTGTCCGGAGGATGCTCTGTTTTCCACTATTTCCTGCTGGGAGAATAGTATTTGCTTAGACTTGCCTGTTTTAATAAACCTATCCTGTGGCCAAAAGCAGTTCTAGCCTACCACCCAAGCAAGTGAAAGTGACACTTTGCTGTTAGGCTTATTAGCCGGATTGAATTTCCACTATTTAAATAGTGAGGTGAGGCATCATTTCATGTTTGGTGGCTTTTTGAAAACCCTTTTTCCCTCCTGGTTTTAAGGACTACCATAATGTAAGTATTTTTTATCAGACGGTGTAAACTGCCCTTTGTGCTTTTCAGAATTGACCTGTGTGTTCTTTTCTTCCAAGTGTTCTTTGTAATACTTTTTTTTTCAGTTCTAATTAAGTCCTATTAGAATTGCATTAAGTTAAAAGTTTATATAGAAATAAGATATAAAAAATGTGAATACATATTTAAGGAGACATGTCCCTTGATTTTTTTCAAGCTTTTTATGTACTTCTTATAGAAATTCATCATTTTCCTTGTAGAGCTTTTACACACACATTTCATGGAATTTATGTCCCGGTGCCCTTCTTTTTATTATTTTATTGTAGGGAAATATTAAAAGGGATTCTTTTATTATGCCTTCTGGCTATTTTTTGTAGATAGAAACTTACTGAGTTTTGTATTGTAATTTTATATTTAGCTTCATCAGTGAATTCTGTCATTTCTACTTTTCTACCTTTTTTTCTCTAGCATTTTCCAGATAGGCAAGAAAATCATATAATTTTGTTTCTGTAATTTTCAGTTAACTTTCTTGTCTAAATGCACTAATAGTTGGGAATGATGATAAATAGAAGTGGTGTTGGGGGCTTTCTTATCTTACTGCTGATTATAATTAGAATAATACTATTCTTTCTAAAATGTGATGTGGGATTTTCATTTGGTTTGTATTATCCCGATTAGAAAGAATTTTAAATAAAAAATAAGTATTGGCTATTACTAATTACACTTTACCAGCAACTCAGACAAGTATAGATTTTTCCCCCCTTTTACTATAGTTACTTATGGATTCCTCATCTTCACCCTAGATATGAGGTGATTGAATCAGAGTATGCACGATTGTATTCTCTTTATACTTTTAAATTACTCTTCCAGATGGTTGCACGACAAACCCACCAGCAAGGCTACTGTGGCTGGCATGGGTCAGGCTGAAGAGTGACAGGACATACTATAAGTTAATGGGGATGTGCAAGAGGGCTGCTGGGACAAATCTTGCAGAGTTTGAGTCAAAGCTTCCTTACTTGGAGGTTATGTCACGTAGATCACAAAGAATGGCTCCAATTCTCCCATTATGCCCATGCCCTTGCCATTGTTGACTCTGAGAAGGAATATATCTTACCAAGGAGTTCTCGTGGTTGAGCCCAAATTTATAATCAGTCTAAAAGCCATTGTACACGCACGCGCGCGTGCGCTGCGTCTCAGGGAAACGCTACAGATTGAGCTGCTAAACCTCCATTATGTTCCTATGGGCTGAGTCATACTTATAAAAGAGCTTGTAGGATTGAAATTTCACCAATAGAAGTGAGACTTTTCCCATCCAATCAGAGCTGTACAGCTCTATCTTCATTTGCATTTTCACCAACCAATCAGAGTGGCTCTATTTTGACCAATCAGGACAGTGCTATTTGGACCAATCAAACTGTGTAGATTAGGAGTCTATATTTGCCACGCGTTACCATGTAAAATGAAACAGCCTTATATCCCACTCGTGCACAGGGATGTATTCATAGGCATGCAAATCTGACAATGAGAAAAAACTTCAGGACAAAATTTAAGTCATTATTAAGTCTCTATTTCGAAGGGGGTTTTCATAAAATCCAGTGAACTTTCTTAAAAACCCGATTTCCCGATATGCAACGAGTGCCGGCTGGGGGAGCGAGTCCCGGGCGTTTCGGCTCAACAGACGCTGGTCTGCCGGCGCCGGGGAGCTGCGCTGCCGTTGTCGCCGCGTCCGGGGCTGGGACGAGGCGGCGGCGGCTGCGCCAGAGGCTTCAGAGGGTCGTGAGTGCTCGGGGACGCAGCCAGGCCTGCGTGGGCCCGAGGCCGCAGGAACCGGAGCCCCGGCGTGGCGGGGAGTTGCAGCGCCCGTTTGTGGGAACGGCGGGGACCGGTTGGCGGCGCGGCCTCCGCGTGCAGCTAGCCCGGGCCCGAGGTTGGCCCCGGCCTGGGGGAGGGATGCGGCGGTCCTGGGAACCTCGGGTCCCGACGTGGCCGCCGAGCCCGGCTCTGGGGGTGCGTGTGCGCAGGCGGCTGCGGGGTTTTGGGCCGGCCCGCGGCGTGGGGAGAAGCTGCCCGGTAGCGTGGGAGGCGCCGTGGCGGCATCCGGGAAGCGGGTGACGTGGGGCCTCGGTCGAATGGCCCACGTGAGCTGGGGGAACCGCAGCCGGAGACGCCGCGCTTTCCGGGGGAGGAAGGGTGCACGGGGTCTCCCGGCGCTTTGGGGGCGCGGTGGTGGCCTGGCAACTTTGATAAGGAAAAAAAAAAAAAGAAAAAATCCTATTTCCCATTTTTCTTCTTTATAACACATATGAGTACAAGTGAGTATTGGCAACTCACACTTTTATGTGAATTGCTGACCCCAAAAAGGAATATACCTGCGAAGAAGGGACTCCTTGTGGCTAATTGGGCTCAAATTCCTAACCAGTGTCTAAAAGCTGTTACTGACATAGAATCCTCACGCACTGTGCATTTCAGGGAAAGCCGCAGGCTAACCTGCCTGCTGCCTGCACTGTGTTCCTGCCAGCAGCACAAACCTTTATAAAGGAGTTCCTGGAATTGTATTTCAACCAATGGGCTGAGACTTGCCCCATCCAATCAGAACTGCACAGCTATATCATCACGGCTCCGTAACGACAAATCAGGAAAGTGCTGTATGGACCAATCAAACTCCGCAAATTTGCATCCCTAATTTGCATAACAATGGGCCAATCAGGGACCAGGGTGGGCGCTTTTTCTGTGTGAGCCAACCTCCCCTTTGTTTTGGTTAAGTGCACTTTTGGTTTCCAGCAGGGAGGCTGTGTCTTGTGGGTTTGCAAGCAGTTGACCTGAATAAAGTTTCTCCTTTTACTGCATCCCAGATTGGGGACTGGTTGGCATTGTGTTGGTGGCAGTGACCTTTTGCTGACAGAACTCACCGGGCGCCTCAGAAGGAAGGCTTGGCTGTGTGGATTCCATTAGGATCTTGCCTTTCTTGCTCCTCCTCCCCACCCCGTTAGAGAAGTAGATCATCTGTCAAACCATCAGGTAGCACATTTCAAAGGTCACAACACAAAAACAATTACCAGTGCATCTTTGTTTGTTCCCAGCTGCAGGTTTATTTCCACGTCAAAAGCTACTTGCAGAGTTGCGTTTTAAAAGGTGGAGGTGTACAGAAAGTGGGATATTATTGCCCACAGTTTAACACCACCACTCTTCCCTACCCGGCCCGCTAACAAACATCCGGAGGACTCAGTCTGTGGGTAATATGAGTCTGATTTCTGGGCTGCTTTTTCCTGATGATCCTTTTTCCCCTTACTTAGGTGTTTACCTCTATTTCTGTGTTAGGATTACCCAACAAACGTGGGGGTAATGAGGGGAAGATGACTCAGACCTTGAGGACCCAAGAGGAACAGTGCCCAATTCACTTTGTGTTTATAAAGAGGCTCGTAAATGTCCTCATCTCATGATTTGCTCCTGATCTAGGACCCCATACCCAGCAGATGCTTTGGAAACTACTGTAGATGACATCGGTTTTACTCCTTCCCTAACCCATGCTTCCCCTTCGTAGTGCTACCTTGAGGTGAAGGCATCACAGCTTATGGAGGTTTGACACGTAATAATGGGACTGGTCCGCCGAATGGGCCAATCCCGGGTGGTCTCTACAGACTGTGGGGTTAGAGGGCGTCTTGCTGAAGTTGTGGTCTAGGGCAACCCTGTCCGAGATATATATATATATAATGAAAGCCACATATTTAATTTGAAAATTTCTAGTAGCCACACTGGGGGGAAAAATATGAAAAAAAACCCCACAAGAAACAGGTGGAATTAACTTTAACAATGTGTTTCATTTAACTCAATATAGCCAAAGTATTATCATGTAGCATGCAATCATTATAGAAATATTGAGGTACTTTACATTCCCTTTTTTCTTAAGTTTTCAAAATCCAGTGTGCGATTTGTATTTACAGCACATGTCAGTTCGGACTACCTACATGTCAAGTGCTCGCCAGCCACCCATGGCCATCATGCTGGGCAGCACACGTCCAGGGGTAAGACGCAGTCCCTGGGGTCATATCAGCCCTGGTTCTAATCACAGGTGACGCTTTGGAAATTACCTACCATCCTTGAGTTGCAGATTCCTCATCTGGAAGACAATTTTTTACCTCAGAATATACAAACTCCGCATATCTAAAACTCAGAACGTCTTCTCTTTATTTCCTGAGCTCTCTCTTCCTTCTTTATTACTATCTTAATTGGAGGCTTTATCATCTCATCTTAAGCCAAAAAGAAACAAGATCTCTTTCCGGCATATTCAGCAGCAGCACAGTCCTCTCAGCACGCCCCCCGCCCCCGCAGCGAGTCCCCTGCTCCTGCGTTCCCCATCCCCTTGCCATTCGCCTTCTCTAGGTTTAGCTGTGTCTTCCCCCAACCATCACCGACAGTAGAGCCCCTGAAACCGTGCTGCTCTACGGATATGCTTTGTTTTGAAACATTTTTTAAAGATGGGTTTCAAGCATTGAAAAATTAGTAGATTTCACAGGAAATTCCAAAATTCTGGTCTCCTCGAATAATCAGATGACCCAGCACACCTGTCCTTTTAATGCCTGGCAGTGACCAACTGAGACAGAGTAGCCGCTGCTCCCTTCAATGGGGAATGCTTTCTCCAGCCCGACTCACCCTGTTGAGAACACCCCAAGTTCTTAGTACAATGTATAAAGCCTTTCACGGTTTATCCGTTATCAGCATCTCCTCAGCCTCATTCCATGTCAGGATTTCCTCGCATTTTGTGCCAACAAAATCAAGCGACAAATACGTCAGTGAATGCCTCACTGTTTCATGACGTCATGCTTCTGCACGCGCTCTCTGTTCTGTTTAGAGGGTTCTCCCCACCAGGACGCTAGTCCTCCTTAGAAACTCAGCTCAGACGTCACACCCTCTGGAAAGTCCTGCTTCCTCCCCGTACCCCTCCCCTTTCCTGGTACAAGTTCAACCAGATTCTTCTGTTACCTCTAGACCTGTGACCCTTTCGGTCACCAGGCCTGTTCCACTTCTCTGCGTTTTGTTCGCTTGTGTATCTGTCTTCCCCACCACGCTGGGACTTACTGGCATTTGGGGGAACCTGCGTGTTTCATGTCTGTGTCCTCAGCATGTGGTGTGTGATACATACTGCCATTCTCAGAGGCCAGCAAACACCCCTTTCTCACTCTCCCAGGTCTGAAACAAATCGGGAGTCACAGGAGTCACATAGAGGGCGCCGAACTGTAGCTTCCTCACCAATAAAAATTACTGCGGAGAGAGTGACTTAGTCACGTGACCTCAGTGGGTTCTCTGGTAAGCCATGGCTCAGAGGTGGAGTCACCATCCTGACCACAGGCGGTCCGGACAACCATGTGCGTCTGCAGCAGGGACAGTCCCCTTTTGTGTGGACGATGGCAATTTAGAGCTGAGACCTGGCAGCTCCCGGGGGCACCGAGCAAGCAAGCTCAGGTGCTTCTCCTAAATTTATCAAATCAACCAAGTAAGTCACATCTCCTCAGTCATTTTCTTCCTGGGAGTAGGGAGAAGCTCTTCCTCCCCGCTCCCCAAGCATGAGAAGTAGAGGATATGTACCATGACAGCCCATGATAGAGACCCTATAAATAAGTGATAGTAACTGGAGGGTCAAAGTGACAGTGCGTGTTGGCAGTCAGTCACATGGCTTACCATGGAAACGGTTATTTCTTGCCCAGACTAACCGAGGGCTGCAGCTCAGCGGCAATTTGCTGGGTGTGGCTGGGTCTGGCGCCAGGCTCTGGGCTGGGTTTCCAGGTCCTCTTTCTTCCTATTCTGAGACATGGGAGAAGGAGTGGCCAAGTCAGGCTGTGCAGCTGCAGCTCAGTGTCTGCTTGGAGGCAGCTAACGCCTTGCACACTTACATGCCATTGGCCGAAGCATGTCACGTCACAGTCCAATGAGCCAGGGACCTTACCCCTCCCAGAGGGTGCCCGAGCGAGTGACCTGACCGCGAGGAAGGAGCCAAGAGTGGGAAGCAGTGATGCAACCTATCCCAGTGATTTGAATCAAATTTCTCCTCCTCCGTGGGCCACGTTTTCTTCCACCATAAATATAGGAACGAAGCTCCCTCCTTTGGACCAGACAAGGTGACACACAAAACGGGTCATCACAGCTTCCCCGAGAGAAGGCAAAGTCCAGATCGCTAGGTGGGCGAGTGAGCATCCTGGCTGCGTGACACGGGGGTACTTGACTCTGCAAACTCTGGTGCCTGAGCTCTGACCAGCTGCCTGGCCTGGTCGCTGCTCCGTGGAGCGGAAGGTGCTGCTGTCCCAAGGGAAGGTCCAGATCCAGCCTCTGGTGGAAACTTCCACAGATTTTGGAGCCCCAGTGATAAAATTATTTCACGGTTCTCTCCTCCCCCGGGATGCAGCCTTTCATCCACCGCCTCCTGAATGACAGCCTGTCCCCGTTCACCCCAGGAGAGGCTCTGTGGGAGGCTTCATTATTGTTCCCTGAACCAGAGTGTTTAATCGTTTATATGAGTGTCACACTTCTTACCGTGTATCAGTTATTATGTTATGAAAATAAGATGGTGAGAGCTTCACAAATAATGCACAGCCTTTAAACCCATGGAGAAGGAAGGGGAAATATTTAATCTGAAGAAATTGCACAGAGAAGAGGTGTGAAAGAGCACACGTGTGCAAAAGCATAGCCAGCTACACAGCCCCAGCGTAGCGCGCTCCACGTGTCTCGCTGCTTTGTCTGCCTTGGCCCTGAAACTTTACGCTGGGCAGACTCACCCACACATGGCCTTCCCCAGTCAAAAGACAGCCGTGGTGCGCCTGTCTTGCTTTTGCGCTTCCTGGAGGCCTTCAGTACGGCCCTGACACTGCTCCCCACTCCCTGCAGCTTTGTGCATCACTGACCACTGGCTTCTTTTCTCTCTTTCTCTTTGGACTTGATCCCTGGACTTGGATGACATGACTAGCTGGCATCTAAATAGCACCGTCGCCCCTAATAGCTCAGCTTCTACGCACGGCTGCTGCTTCTTACTCTTAGAGACTCACAGATTCAAAACATGTTGAAAATGAAGACAACTTCATCTCCTCTGATCCGTAATCTGAGTCACATACAGGCTGCAAGTGCCCCAATGCGCTAAGGGGAGCGATGACGGGATTATGGGTATCTGACTTGGGGGGAGGGGAGGAGCAATATCACAGGTGCCACGGGCGGTGATAAGGGTGAACTGTCCCCAGATGCCCAGAGGCTAATTTGCATGTACCTAGTTCCTGTATTTCATTTTTAAAAATGCCCCAGATTTGATTTCCTGTGATTTTGATCTTCAGCGGTTTCATGCCCATTTGTTGGCACACTGGAAGTCTGTACATGAAAGCTTGCATTTTAGGGATTGGCTTGACCCCATACAAATCATCCTACGCAGCGGCTGTAAGACGCTCCACATCCCCTGGGTGACGGCTCAGCAGCCGCTGGCTTCAGGACAGGTGAGCATCCGGTACCCACAATGGAGGCTGCAGAGAAATGAAAGGAGGTGCTGTCAGGCGTGGTCAGCAGACATTGATGCCAGAGCCGAAGAGCCTGCTGCGACCAGCGAGCCAGTGGGACTGTGGGCTGGTGACAGGCACGCCCATCAAAGCCAGAAGCTGCCTTTGGGGAACTTCCGTTGGAGATCCCCAAGCCCCTGAAGAAGAGCCTGGTGTATGCACGTGCATTACCTTCCAGTTATGGAAATTGAAATAAGCTAAACAAAGCATGTTTTCCATGTCCTAGGCCTGCACAGGAGAGAAAGTAGAGACTGGCCGTCGGGGGGTCTTGTTACCTCTGCTTCTGTACTGCGCTGCAGGCTGATGTCTGAGCTGGGTGTCCTCAAGCCTCTGACAAGCGCCGGCCTCTCCACTCTGAGCTGAATTCTTGTGTGGGTGAGAGAGCATCTTCAGCGACAGCCCCGGACCTGGTCCTCATGCTGCTGAGGCTCTTGACGTTGCTCTGCGGTGAGTAGGACAACCAGAGCAGGGTGTGCGGCCCCACTGTGTGGGGGATCCCCTTGACGCTGGTGGGATGTCTCAGGTTCAAGTGTTTGCTAGAGCACTGTGGGCCGCTCAGCCCCCACTTCCAGCTGTGGGCTTAGAGCCAGGCAGAAAGTGGAAGCTACTGGAAAGCCACACTTGCTTTCTTTAAAGAAAATGATCATTTTAGTTTTTAACTCATAGGAAGGGTTCACCGTCTGTCCTTTCTACTTTTAATTGTTGACAGTGTTTTTGGTGTTTTCACTAGCCTCAAAGGTGATTCATACAGCAAACTGACCTGTCAGTTCCTTGTTACTCTCGGCATTATTTTCCTTTATGTTTTCATAACCCCACCCGCCGTTCCTATCATCTAACCCTAGAACTTATTACCAGCAACTTATCACTGCCGCCCCACATCCAAAACCTGTTTGCAGCACTGCGTCCCCAGCTCCTTCTGTAACACGCCTTTAATTCACCAGGATTACTTTTCTGTTGTCAATCGCCAATGTTTGTGTCGTAAATTCCTTTGAAGCAAAGACTGTCATCCGTGTTTCCTCTTGTAACCCAAGTGCCACGTACAATGACTAGCATCTAGGAAGCACTCCGAATTGTTTGGTGCATGGGTAAACAAAGAACATGCGAGTTTTATGCTAGCCAGCATTGATTCCTTTCTCTCACCTGAGGAAGCAATTAGTCAATTATTAGAAGCCCAAAGAAGGCATCTCAGGCTCCATAAACATGGGCTAAAGACGTTGTAATAATGAGGTGATATTAGTGAATGTTAAATAAATTCTAAGCACTATTCTAAGCATTTTATGGGTATCGGCTCATTTCATCGTCACAAAAGCTCTGTGTGGTAGGTCTGTTATTATCTCCGCTTTCCAGAAAGGAAACGAAAACACAGAGGACGAAGCGTTTCCCAGGTGACACAGCTTGTAAGGGGAGGGGCCAGGATTTAGCTGTGGGCCAGCTGGACCAGAGCTAGCATTTCCCCGGAATTTTCAGTTCTGGGTCATTACACCTTAATATTATGGTCAAGTCTTTGTGCTAGAAGAGAATCTTTGGACGTAGCTGGATTCTGCCCGAGGACTCAGCCCTCCCTCTCTGATCTGAGCTGGCAAATGCCAGGAGCGGGCGCCCGCCACTGCCCTTCTGGCCGCTGCCCTGAGTCCACCGCGCTCAGCTGGATGCCAGACTTCTGGGGGGACGGGGAGGGGCGAACATGGGGGGCTGGAAGGAGGGAGCTGCAAGGAGCTGTGGAACAAGGGCGCCGCCTGGCACTCACAGATAGAGAAGTTACCAGGAATCACTTCGTAATCATGAAATGAGCTGTGTTGTGTTGTGTTGTGCAGAGGTGTTTTGGGGGTGATGTGGAATGTGAGAAACTGAACAGAGGCAAAGAAGACAGGGAGGGAGGGAGGGAGGGGGAAAGAAGGAGGGAGAGAGGAAAGAGGAGAATCAGAGAGGGAAAGAGAGGGAGAGGCGGGGGCTGGGAATGATCCTGGGAAAGTTGGGCTTTGCGTCCGTCTGTCTGTCTGGGATTTGCTGCGCTGTACTGACTTCCCCGCATTCTCTCCCAGCTCTACTCTGTGAACCAACAGGTGAGTCGCACTTCCCTTTCTTCTTCACGGCCCATGGGTATGTTGACACACTTGACCCACCCAGAGGCTTATGGATGGCTGTGTGACATCTGGTGACAGCTGCTGCGGTGTACAAACAACAGTGGCTCCCTTGGGCCAGGCTGCTGTGTGCACGCCCCTTTCTGTACATGACACTCGTGCCTCAGCGGGGCAGCAGGTAGGTCTTGGTCTGACCTTGTCAAGAGTACAGTCTTTTTCTCTGGGACATCCCAGCTTAGGGAGAGAGATGCTGTTTGCACAAGGAAGTCAGGTCCCAAAGATTGACACTGAAGGAGCTGTGCCCTCCCAGCCTCAGGGGCTCCGAGGCGCCTGCGTGTTCCCCAGCCGGAGTGATGGAGGAAATGCCAAAGTCACACGTCCACAGGGAACAGCGTTACGGCCAATCCTTGGGCCACATGCAGAAGAAATGGGAACGAAGCCCAAACAGGACATGCCCTGAGGCCGGGTACGGATTAGGCTTTGCCCAGTGATCCTGGCTCCTGCAGAGGTTTGTACAGAAGCTCAGGGCAGAGGCTGCATACACGTGTGGCTCCAGGGCGAGTGCACGCCTGTCCCTTCCGTTGGCAATCGCAGGGCAGGACGGCTTCAGGGCAGAAGGACGTGAGTGTCTCCAAGTCTTTCCCAGACTGACTGGCCCTCCAGGCCTCACACTCTCATTGAAGCAGACAGTGTGGGTCTGAGGTGTCAGGGGGTTGGAAGAGAAGAAAATGCCTTGCGACAAGGATGAGTGACATACACACTCACTTTCCTGTAACTCCAAGCTTTGTCTTCTCCAATGCCAGCTTCATTATACTGTCCCAGTTCATGGGCAGAAACTCCAAAGAGTTAGAACCAAATTCAAGGCCTGAGGCAGGAGGCGACGCTGCCCAGGGCAGGACGTGTCAGGGTGAGCGGTTGACAAAGAAAGGAAGGCCCTGGGCCACCTGTGGGGTGACATGAGGGGCGGTCTGCGTCCAGCTGGCTGTTTCTGTCTTGTTTCTGATGCTGAGGATACAAAGTGCCTCTTACCAGGAACCCTGAGGCCATCGCCCCGAACCTGTGTGTGTTCTCTCTAGCGCTGCTTCTGAAAGTCAGCCCTCCTCGGCCTGTGGATGGGAACCCCATGACCCTGACCTGTGAGAGCCAGTTCGCTCGGCCGGAGCCACATCTCCAGTTCCGCTTCATGAGACACAGCCAGGTTCTGGGGCGGGACTGGGACAACTCCTCGCAGCTGCAGGTGGCTGCCGTGTGGAGCGGGGACACGGGGGTCTACTGGTGCGAAGCCAAGACGGCAGCACGCAGAACGATACGGAGCGGGGGCATCTGGATACAAGTGCAGAGTGAGCGCCTGGGGCGGGTGGAGTGGCCGCGGCGGCCGGGCTTTGTCACCGCTGGGTCCTGCCTGCGTCCCCCAGGTTCCCTGTGGCCGAGCCCCGCGGCCATCCTCCCTTAGCCTGGCTCTTCCCGTTCACGTACACAGCGGGGTATTCAGAAAAGCCCTACTGGGTGTTTCGCTGTGCTGGAGAAGGCCGGGGAGAACCCTGCGGCGTCTGCGGTCTGATGATAAGAGCTGGGCTCATGCCACTGGGGAGGGCCCGCGGGGGACGCCCCTGTCCCGTGAGATGCGGCACCCTCCATGCGAGATTCGTGGAGCCTTTCGTACCCCACCGCCATCAACCCCAACAATGCCAGCTCCAGGCAGCGGAACCCCCCACCACACACACACACACACACACGAAATTATATGTTACTGACTTCGTCCAAGGCCTGTTCCTTCAGGACGGCCACACCTGCTCTTTGTCCCCGAGCCCTCCCGCCTCAGGGCTGTCCTGTGTTGTCTCGTGTCTGTGTAGGAGTGCCTGTCGGTAATGTGCGCTTGGAGACACAGCCTCCAGGGGGACACGTGGCAGAGGGAGAGAAGCTGGTTCTTGTCTGCTCAGTCACACAGGCCACCGGCGACATCAGCTTTCTGTGGTACCGAGGGGCCCTGGGTCTGAACCTGGAAACCAAGACCCAGCGTTCCCTGACGGCAAAGCTGGAGATCCCTGCCGTGAGGGAGAGCGACGCGGACCAGTACTACTGCGCGGCTGACAATGGCCACGGCCCCAGTATCAGCACGCTGGTGAACATCGTGGTCACAAGTCAGTGTCACCACCCTTCAGCCTGGCCAAAGGGACCCAGTCGAGCCCCATGTTCCCCCGGGGCGCCCTGAGGGAGCGCGATGGGGCTGAGCCTCTGTGGGCAGATGAAGAGGCTGTCACATTATCAGGAACCCTCTCTGACATCCCACTGTCTCCTCAGTTCCAGTGTCCCGGCCCGGCCTCACCCTCAGCACTCCTGGGGCCCAGGCCCTGGTGGGGGACACGGTGGAGCTCCACTGTGAGGCGCAGAGAGGCTCTCCCCCGATCCTGTACCGGTTTTATTGCAATGATGTCACCCTGGGGAGCAGCTCTGCCCCCTCAGGAGGAGGCGTGTCCTTCAACCTGTCTCTGACCGCAGAACATTCTGGAAACTACTCCTGTGAGGCAGACAATGGCCTGAGGGCCCAGCGCAGTGAATTGGTGCCACTCAGGGTCACAGGTACAACTCAGGCCATGGAACTGACTGGTCAGTGTGTCTCTTTCCCAGCGTCCTGGAAGACGTCCGCTGCCCTTGCACTGTGTCTGGTGCTGGGCTAGCAAAGGTGGGGCTCGCGGGGGGGTGCGGCCCTGGGGGTGTAGCTCGGGGTGTGGAAGACACAAAAACCAGGTGCCTGTCTCCTCCTGTTATCAGTGTGATAAGCTGCAAGTCCTTAGATAAGTAAATCCCACTGCACCCTCCTCCCCTGCCCCCCGGGAAGAGTGGCCGTGGTCTCACCGCACCCACTCACGATGCCCGCTGTCGTTTCCAACCCTTCTTGGCTGCTCATGTGTGGCCTTCTCCCTTCAGCGCCTATAGAAGACAAAATAGATCTCACATCAGTGGTCACTGAGGGGCTGTTTGGCATCCTTGGTCTCATCATTATTGTCCTGTTCTTTGGCTGTTGGCTCAAGAGAAAAATAGGTTAGTAACGACTAACATTGGCATTTTTGTCACATGACCTTTGTTTTCACTGAACTAGGCTAGACTTGTGATGCGTGTCCTGTAAAGAACAAATGTGTCCTGTTAATCACGCTGCTCGCACCCGCAGCGGGCATGGCACCTATTAAAGCGGGCAGAGCTGTTAGCAGTTCCCTGTCCCCTAGCGGTTCTCAGCTGCTCTCCTGTGCTTCTGTGATTTACCTGTCATTCAGAAATGTGACCATTTAAGTAACTAATCAGCGACTGGAAGAGACATTCCAGTTACGCTGACCATCACCCCACTAAAGTCGGTGCATCAGTTCTTACTCACCTTAGGCCATATTGTCACGCGCTTTTCCCCCTGAAATGCTTGTCCACACACTCTCTTCATTGCTGGGTCGTCTCCACTTCTCAGCTCAAATGTCATGTTTTCCAAGAGGCTTCCCCTGGCCACGCAGCCCGCAATTCCATTATTCTTCATCAGAGTGTCAAGTCAGGTAGCTTCACACGTGTCCAGCACGGGTAATTCAATACTTATTTGTATGTTTAGTTGGGGTCCCCTCTTGTCCATCGACCAAGCTGGAGACGGGCCGAGAGGAGACCATGCGAGATTCTCGTTTAGCTCCAGGCACCTGGCCACAGCTCTGGTGTGGGGTGGCAGTGCCTGCTCCTGAGGGCTCTTGTGATGAGATTAGAAGCAAAAAGAAAACCGGTGTGAGGGTTCAGAGGCTCGAGCTTCAGGCCTTGCTCTGGGCCTACTGTCAGGGAAGCTGCTTCACTGCTCTAGACCCGAGTCTCTTCATCTGACAGTGAAGGGTCTGCCTGAAGGACCTCCAGGACGGCCTCTGGGCACACAGTGGCCTCTTGTGACAAGGAGCGTCCCCACACCAGGGCTATGGGAAAACGTTGGGAAGGAGGAAGCCGCACTGACATGGGTGTCGTTTGATTTGCAGGACGGCCTTCAGCCAGCGACCCAGTCAGGTGAGGCCTCTGCTGTGTGTGAGCGCCGATGGTGTGGGAATGTATTCAAAACAGCTGAACTGTCCTCTCTCGGGAGGTGTCCTCATATCTCTGTGTACCCAAAGTGGCCACTCAGCGTTCCCCCACTAAAAACGCTGAACATTCACTTGCTACTCCTTCTTTTACACGTTAATTAACTCCGTTCATCCTTCTTCCTGGTTTATCTTTTTCACTAAATCCTCAGAATAAGAAAGTTACATCACTTTGACCCATTTCTTGCATTCCTTCAATCCGTTAACCAATATCTGGGGGTCTATAAGTCATCCTGTTGGGTATTGAAAGGCATGGAAATATGGGGAAACCTTGAAGGTTGTAAAGAAGCTCAGAATAATTAAGCTATGTACACATTTCCGAAATGCAGGCCAGAGGGTCAAAAAGGGACTGAAAACTGTGATGGTGGAGTTGTGTGAACGTTTAGAAGAGGAAACGATTGTGAAAGCACTTCGGCCTGGCTGACACGTTTCATAGTGTTTTTGTCCAAATCAGAGCGGTGCTCTTCGGTGGCGCGTGGACACGCGAGGCCGTTTTCTGCTTTTTTGTCGTCAAGATGCTTGTTCTGCCAGCAGCCGGTGTTCCATCAGGGCTGGACCAGTCTCTCTTCACCCTGTGTCTCCGGAGTGACCCCTCCCCCATCCCCGGGGTGCGAAGGGCACTTTGGAGAAAGGCAGCACCTCCGTGAGCCCTCAGAGAAGGGCCTTGCGCTGTGGGGTGTGACCGTGCCAAGCGAGCCAGGCACGGACGGGGCTTGTGCTACGCAGCCAGCTGGTCCCTAGGAGTTAGTGCTGTGCTCGGGACCCCAACAGACCCTTTTCTTCGGCGTCTTCCCCATGAGCCTAGATGGTGAGGTCTGAGACATCTGGGATGCTGCCCCAGATGGAAAGTGTGTGTTTCTGTGTCTGCAGGTGCCCGCCCCTCCCTCCACCTCGGGAGTCCACATACCTCAACACGGCCACCCCGGAGCAGCGGCAGCCCGTATATGAAAACGGTGAGGCCCCCCGAATGCCCTGACCCATAGCAGTAAAGCGAGCTGGGGAAGAGGCTAGGGGCTGATGCGCGCTGGCCAAAGCGGACCCCGCCATGCTCTGGCCACCTGTGCGGACAGGGGGCTCATCTGTGTTCACGTGACCGGTGGCAGGAAGGAGCGGCCGTGTCCTGACCCCTCCTTTCTCTTGCAGTCAATGTCGTACGTGGAGATGAAGTTTATTCTCTGGCGTATTGCGTGCAACAGGAATGGCAGCCGGCCGCAGGTGAGGCACGAAGATGTGGCTCTGTCCCTGACTTTTGTCCTTCCCGGAACCAAGGAGTTACTGGGTGACTGCCGTGGCAGCGTTCTGCGGTGTTACTGGCTCTGCGTGGAGCCGACTATGAGCACTGAGCCGACCTGAGAGGGACTTGGACTTGGGTCTGGGACCTGCCTCGAGGTGCCCCGTGTGACGCTGACAGGGCCTGGCCGTGGAGCGTCTGTCACTCCACAGCCCCGTCAGGGGGAAGCACGGAGGTGGTGGCTTCTGCCTGTCCCCTCTGGGTGACCTTGTGCACTCCCTCAGCACCCCAACACAGCTGCCTACGAGCTGCTGCTGTCTATCCCAGGCCTGGTGCGCCCAGAAATGCCAGGAGGGACCCACTGAAGTCCCTCCCCAGGCTGCTGATTTTGCTCTGCAGAGTCAGGGAGTCATGTTTGTGACAGACAGAAAATACCCATGGAGATAACTCCATGAGGAATAGACGGGAGTGGAAGAAGCTGTCGTTAGCACTGACTTAGCGTGAATGGAGTCTCACAGCTCGGTCTTTCTCTCCACAGCAGAACCTCTGAGGTCGTATGCTGACGACAGGGTAGGTCGGAGTCCCTGGGTTCTTCGGCCCTGGGTTCTTCCTCGGCGCTCTTTCTCTCTGTCTTCTGGGGACTGGTTCTCCAGCTTTTTAAATTGCGGCCACTGGGGGACAACAAAAGATCCCCTGGTGGATCTTCTTCCTCATCTCCCTACACAATGGGGATGAAAACAATAATGTGTCACCATCCAGAGCACTTTGGGGGGCTTACCTGTCCTTTAGCAACAGACACAGGGATGATTCGCGAGGGAACTGCAGTGAGTGCCTAGTCTAAAAATTCTGTTTGAAAACCGTTACACTGAAATGCTGTGCTGTCAGGTTACGCAAACACCTAGAAATCTAAATTAATGTTGAATGAAGCTAAACTGATAGTGATTTGGTTCCTTACAAATCAGCAATTCTAAACTTTGGACAATTCAAGGCATCACTGATGACACAAAAAGGCTTTCAGAAACTTGCAGAAATTCCAGCTCTGCGTGTGTGCAAGGACAGTTGGTGGCTGGTAATTTCAAGTGTAGGGTGACAGTCCCAGGTCCCAGGACAGAGTTCGCATCTTTAGAAAACTGCAGCTACATGCTAAATTTAGTTTATGGATTCAAAATTTTGACATCCTGAAAAATATGGCAGCCACGGAGCTGCCTAACAATGGGCCAGAAGAGGGAGGGAAGGCCTCACATGTCTGGGTCAGTTTGCAGCTCGACCAGAGCCCCTCTGCAGCCCACCAGTTGGGGACAGGTGCTCAGCAGAAGCTGGCCTCGGCCACAGCCTCCCAGGGGGCTCCATTCATGTACACGGTGGCCTGAGAAAGGTAGGGCGCATCCAGGCAGCCTGGGACGAGGACTGCCGGGGCGCCGTCTGCCTGTGCCCCTGCTCTGGCCCTAGCCCTGTCCCTCCTTACAGGACTCCTCAGTCATCTATTCGGGGGTGAAGAAGATGACCGTTACGGACGTGGACTATGAGAATGATATCTAAGGTTACAGAAGATTCTACCTGAGAAACCATCCATGACCCCATGCCTCAGACCCAATATGTGCTTCAGCGGTCCCAGGAACCAGCTTCCCAGGACACCTAACCACCTAACCTCCACGGGACAGTGCCTGCGTCTATTATGATGGGAAGTTGGCTCAGACCCTGAAGGGACCACCCAGGAGAACCAACAAGGATGCCCAAGTGGGAGGGACTTTATTATCGAAACCCGATTCCTACTGGTTCTTTTAGGCCCAGGTCCATTTGTGCTCAAACTCCTTTTTACGAGAAGAAACAGGACAAGATAAGAGAAGAGGGACAGTGAAGCTTCCAGCGCATGAACCCAGGGCTGGTGATCCTGTGGAGCTGCTCCATGCAGAGAGCTGTGAGTCTCCTTCCGTCCAGGTGCTTTCTCTGCTCAGACGGTCCCGAACTCCAGCTCCACCCCTCACATCGTCTTTCTCCATAAAATATGTGACTCGGTATGTTGGGTCACAGTTATCAAATTAGAATGAAAACAAAGTCACATAAAAAGTTATTGTAGCTATACTCAATGTTAGAGACATATTTTGGAGCCACAGGTCACTCTAGATGCCGCCCATATAATGAGAGGTAATCTTTGTAAGTTTCCCCACATCTGAAGTTCTGTATTTGTGGCAGCCTCACGGAGCTTTATGAATATCATTTCTTTTATCCACAAACGTTTTGAAAACGTGATAATATGGTTTGGAGCTTATATTTTAATTTTAAATCAATCGTATGCTAACTCTCCTAAATCAAAACAATTGGAAGCATATACAACGTAAAAAGTCAGTCTTTCTTATAATCTAACATAAATGGGACTCACTAAGCATGGTTAAAATCTTAGCTCTACAGATGTTTTTCTATTTTTATACAAACATTTATATATACATGTAAATATACAAATATTTAGAAATACACCTATTTAACAAAATATCATGAAATATTTTCAAGTCTGTGTATAGATCTGTTGTACTATTTTAAAAGACTGTGCACTATTCTGTTATGCAGATAAATCATAATTCATATTTTCTTTTGGTAAACTATACATAACATAAAATTTATAGTTTTAACCATTTTTAAGTGTACGATTGAGTGCCATTAAATACTATCATGATATGTTTTAATCCTTTCAACCACTGATGGATTTTAAGGTGACTTCCCAAATGTTTATATGATAAAACCAATGCTAAAATAAATGTCCTTGTACAAACATATATGCATTCCTGTTAATTCATCTGAAAGATAAATTTGTAAATTGAGAATTACTACATTTTAAGTTATGCACATTAGAAGTTTGTGTTAAATATTCATAAATTGCTCTCCAGTAAGGGTGTATCAATTCATGCATCTACCAACAGTGTATGAGAAAACCAATCTGTGGGAGAAAGTATTGCTTTTTCATTAAAATTTGTAAAATTGGGGCCGGCTGTGTGGCTCAGTTGGTTAAGAGCGGGAGCTCTGAGCAACAGGGTCGCCAATTCGATTGCCACATGGGCCAGTGAGCTGTGCCTGAGCTGTGCTGGCACTGAGCTGCCAACAGGTGGCAGGATGGCTCAGCTGGTGAGAGCACGTGCTCCTAACAAGGTTGCTGATTTGACTCCCTCATGGGATGGTGGGCTATGCCCACCCACAATTAAGAGTGAACACAGCACCTTGAGCTGAGCCACCACAAGCTGTCGAAGGGTGGTTGGATGGCGACTGGACTTGGAGCCGAGCTAGCTGTGCCCTCCACAACTAGAATTGAAAGACAACAATTTGGCTGTTTCCCTTCCCCAATTCCCCGACACTGTTCCCCTTCCCAATTTCCCAACACTGTTCCCCTTCCCCAAAAAAATCTTTAAAAAAAATTTGTAAAATTACTCTTTATTATTATGCTGCCTCATCATTGTTTTAATTCTCTTGTTCAGAAATTTATGTTAGACGTATACTGAACCTTCTCATTCTATTCTCATGACTCTTAATTAGTCTTTCCAATTTTTTATTTTTTTTAACACCACTGTTGCATTCTGAGTATTTCTTAATTATGTTCCAGTTTACTAATTCTCTCTTCAGCTATGTCCACTTTATTGTTTAACCTATTTACGTCTTCAGCAGCTAGCTACATTCTTTTCTTTTGAGAGGCATCCGTAGCAAAATGTTTAAAAACGTGGTTTCTGAAAAAGCTTCTGGATTTACATTTTCCTCCACCATTTACTAGCCCTGCAGTTTGGGTCAAACTAATTATATGTGTTTTTTCATGCTTAAAATTGGGGTAGCAATTGTATCAAAAATATGTTTTGCTAATTATGTAAGCCCATGTGCTTAAAATGCTTAAAAGTGTACCTGTTACATATCAAGTACTCAAACTATAAATTAGTAGTATTCTCCCTTCGCAAACTTGCCTTTTTGTTATTTATAGTATTTTACTATTATGGGCTTAATATTTCATTTTATTATTATTAGCAACCTTAAATATTTTAAATATGTTAAATTTATTATAACTCCTAGATAGTTCTTCTACCTGAAGTTTTAGGTATTTAAGCCTGTATTTTGAGTCTTGTTCATCGTAATTTGGTGAAATTTGTGACTTTAGATGAATAAGCTTCTGGTGCAGTGTAGGAATCCCATGAGACCTGGACTTCTGTGTTTCTCAAAGGCCATTTTGTATTTGCTTCTTGGAAGCTGTGGAAGGTCACTGGCCCAGGACCACTTTTTATGATAATTCCTTATTTGGGGCTTCCCAGAGCACACCCGTGGGAGTGGCACAGTCCTGAGGTTTATGGTTTCAGGGGAAACTTTCTAATTCCCCACCAGGTCTCATACAAACCCAAGCTTCCTTGTCGTCTCTCTATGCTGGTGGATGAATTTTCCCTCACCAAACCACTCGTTTATTAAAAGGAAACTCCTCTGATGGTCCAGATTTTAGGCAGGTGTTTTAGTTTCAAGTTGATGTTTTTTGTGGGCCTGAGATTTTGTCATCTAATTCCACAAAGATTTTAAATGCGAAGTTCATAAAAATGATTTAGTGTAATATTTTCTCCTCCACTCCTCCCCAGGGGAGCAGTAATGTTAATTTTATGTTGAACACTCTATTTTCACTTCCTTTTAGTTTTTTTCCTTTATCTGCAGTGGGGAAATTTCCCTTTTTTATTACCTGTTTGGTTATGCATTTTAAAAATTATGTAACATTTATCTATCGCTGAGTGCATGAATCAATGCTTCCTTTTCCTGGGGATCATACCTTTGTGAACTGGGAAGGAGTTTGTGGTAGAGTATGTTAAAAAGTAAGTAAAAACCCTTGGAGGGAAGTCAAGACTGAAAGCCAGAAGTATAATCTAGATCTAAGCTCTTGGTTTTTCTTCTGCCACCAGCAACCAATGTTCACCTGTCAGGAAGAGCCCCCCAGAAAGCTGCTCTGAGCAACTCTATTACATGTCTGTGTGGTCAGTGACCCATGGTCTACAGCTCCCCTGGGTCCCTGGCCTTCCTGCCTGGAAAGTCATAACCCATCCACCTTCTGGAAAACCCACAATGTAAGATTAAAACAGAAAGTAGAAGCTTCGGATTAAATTGTCTTTGATTCCTGGGTGCCCCCCCCCACACACGTACTGTCCCCAAGGAGCCCAGGCCCCTCACCAAGAAGTATCCTGACACAGGGAGACAGGGAGGACTGCTCCCTGTTGCAGACACTTCTTGCATGTCTATAGGTTTGAGTTCCACCCCTAGAGACGTGGGTTAGAGTCCCACAGTCCTGCTAGGGCCACAGTGACAGCCCTGTACCCCTCCTTGACAGGCAATCAGAGAGGAATGGTCCCCACTCCCCATACTCACCAGAACACTCAGTCTGGCCCAGGCAGTCAGTATCTGAGACAAGTCCCTGCAAGTGTGGGTGAGCACGGCCAGCCTGGGGGTGTGTATGTGTGCACGCTCCTTTTCTACTTCCAACCTGGGTAATTAGAGGAATAGCATGCCATCCTGCCGAGAGGACCCTGGAAAGATGAATACGTAGGATGGTATTAGAGAAGGCCGACCAAACGGCCAAAAGTCTCCATGAATCACAGCCAAACAACTCAATTCAAACAGACCCAGGGTGGGACACCAGTGACCCAGGAGACCAGGCAAAGTCAGACTCGTATAAGGGACGTTTGATAACGGGACTTCACGAAGGAGTCCCCACACCGAGGACTTTGAGTAAGATCCAGGAAATACAGTGAGGGCCCAAGGAGAACCCACCCACCCTCCAATGAGGCTTACCAACATTACACTGATAATGATTCAAACACCCAAATAACACAAGACTGATCAATATGATCATCATCAGTCGGGCACCCCACATAGAAGAAAAAAGCTGCACAAGCTGGAAGCGGGTTGAGGGTGCCGATGTCTCAACTGGCTGAGATTGCTGATAAAATGTTTCACAGCTGAGATCTATTTCAGGAAAGGCGGAAGCAAGCTACGCTGAGACCACCAGCGGCACTGCTCACGGCAGCCTCGGCCATGACCAGCCAGGACCCAACGAGGTGCCTGCGGGAGAGAACAAACAACCGTGGGTAAGACCCCTGGGACCCCCACAACCTAGCCGAAAAGGCTGCCCATCTGTTGCACCACAGCAATGTCCTTTTCAGCACAAGGACAGGGAACAGAGTTCTCCCACCTCCTTTGACAAGGAGAATGGACTTGTCCCTGACTATGCTGCCACATGCCACAATGGGCTGACAGTGATCAAGAATGACGGGCCCAGGGACTCCCTTTAGGCTCCATTGGCCTCGCTGACGTGTCCCACAGGGAACCTGGGGAACGGCAGCCGTGGGAGAGAAACCTGCAGCCTTCCTGATGGACACCGGAACTGGTTACTCTTTACTGAGCACCAGAGGGCCCCTCTTCCCCAAGGCCGCGTCCCTTGCTGGTGTATCTGGCCGCTCGCGTGTACGAAAGGGAAAAACGGGTGTTCGGGCAGACAGGCGGCCAGGAAGAGCCGAGACGGCTGCCGTGAGCGAGCATGTAAGACTCCACCAGCCACGAAGGCTTGGAATTTAAAGCCATTCCCTTTATTTTTTTTTATTTTTTTTTTAAAGATTTTTATTGGTGAATTGGGGGGATGGGAACAGTGCTGGGGAATTGGGGGAAGGGGGACAGACAAGTTGCTGTCGTTTTGTTCTTTAGTCTAGTTGTGGAGGATGTTGCTTCACTGGCCCAAGTTGGCACCATCATCGCGCTCTTCTCTGGCGAGGCAGATCAGTCG